TTGTCAGTTCTAATGCTCCTCTTCACTTGCTTGTTTACTTCTGTGTATACAGCTTGTGCTTGGACTTTCTCTGCTCGTGTTCGGTTGTTGTTAATCTCTGCCTCCTTGTTATTTTTTTCTTTGATTTTGTATAGAGTAACTATGGAGATCCACTCCTTATATTGCTGTTGCTTTAGGCCCAGAACCACGTGACACGTTGAAGTTAATAATTCATTGATGCCTTTCCAGTTGTCCTCCATAGTAGTTTCTTCTTCCTTCAGTAGATCTTATAAGGCTTGGAACCTGTTGTTGAGAACTATCTTGAATTCATTGAGTTTGTCAGTTTAAGACCTAGATAAGAGAATTAAGAACAGCCTCTTTGAACTCGAAGATATAAATCAGCTTACTTGTATATTATTACATAATTATATGGTGTATTCAAATATATTTTATTTATTCCTCCAAGGAACTGTATTGATCAAAAATAAATAAAATTAATGCATTGGAAAACAGGTTTTAAATTTTTCTATCGGTTTTAAGTCTGCTCTATTGAAAAGACACTAAATGTATTCAATATTAATTAAAATCAATGTTGATAACTCTTTAAAACTTCAATTTGTTCTTCCTATTGTTTGTAATTACTGATGAAGAGAAGTAAAACAAGATTTTTTTCATAGATTACTGTAGACACTTTTATCTAAGTGATAAAAGAACATTTGGTAGTTGAATTTATGAGTCAATTAAAGCTTGACCACCATGGAAAACCTAGAAGCACTTAATGGCTGTTTTGTCCTAGTATGGGACTCCTCAGCAGAGCGCATCCATTTGTTCATAGTTTAAAATTGGATATTGATAAAAAAAATAAAAGAGAAATGGATTGAAGTTTCAAATGTAAAAATAAAAATAAAAGCTAAGTGACAGGTAATATTAATGATAACGACGGCTTAGCGATTGAATATTCAACAAAGATCTAACTTCAGTTTTGTTTGCTTTTAACTTTTAAAGTCATTAGTATCAAAATATGAATCATCAAATCAAATGGAATTCCAGGTAAAACTACTAATAGACATTTAAAGGTAGTAGTATTATTCTATTTAGAACTACTGCTCTTTCTGGGATATATACATTAATAAAATGTTCCCATTGAAACATTAAAGTAACTAGTTGAGCGAAGTGATATTTTTCTTATTGAGATCATTAAGTGGTTGATGTTAGAACACCATTGAAAACCTGGAAACACTGGATAGCCGTTTCGTCCCATTATAAGACTCCCCAGCAGTGCGTATTCATGATCCCGATCACGGGATTCGAACCCGAGGCATTCAGTCTTGCGCGCGAACGTTTAACTTCTATACCACCAAGTGGACATTCAACGTTGTTAACGTCTAACCTCAACCTCGAATCCCGTGAGCGAGATCGTGGGTGCACACTGCTGAGTTGTCCCACAACATGACGAAATGACCTTCCAGTGCTTCCAGATTTCCAATAGTGATGTAACATCAATCAATTTATGATCTCAATAAAATACACAATAGTATCCACAACCCTATTCTAAACAAATATTTCTTTTCAATTAGTTGTCCACCAAGGCTCTACAATATTTTATATGTTTGATAAGTGAGTAGAAATTTGACACTAGTCAGATAATGATGAGCCAAGTTAGCAAAATAATAAACAATTCGTCACATAACGTTCGGAAAATTAAGATTAAAGCTAAAGCGAATCTTCATAATCAGTCAATTATTACAGATAATTCATTACATCAGGGATAGGAGTTTAAATCGGATGTAAATATAAATGATTTTTGTTATCTATGAAATTAATGATACGTAAATAGTCAGACGGGTGCATTGGAAATTAGATAATTAGAATTATAAAATGGTTTATATAAGATTAGAATTAAAAATTAAATTGTTAGCAAAATTGAATTTCGGAAAAGTTTAAGAGAAGAGGAAGAAAAGTTTTGAAACATGTAATAGTATCCTAATAAAAGGCAAAGGTATTAAATTTTTCTGTATACAAAAATTAGGTTTTTTTAATGTGTATTCCTATGTCTTTTACTATATTTAAGGGTCGGATTATAGAACTACGGGGTAAATTCGATGGGATTTTATAGGTAACCTTGAACACTGAAGTTTTATCTTGATGACGACCAGAATCGACTAGATGGGCTAAAATAAAGCTTATATATATAACATGCTTTTTCATGCTTAGTCAAACGTAATAATTAAATATTGATGAATAAAAATTAAGGTAAAAAGAGACTAAAATCATTCGTTTGTTTATTTAATGTTATGTTTTACGAAGAGGAAATGTCTAAACAGCTTTTCTGTTTTTTTTCTATAAAACTAGATTTCTTTAATACAAATCTGTTGATAAGGTTGTATGAAGACCGTACCATATTACGAATCGGGTAACTTTTGACGGAATATTTATTAAGTTCTGACTTGATGGATCACTGTTATCATGCTCATAGGAAGAAAATTTGTTGTTTGTTTAATTATTTGAAATTTTATTTATATGAAATTAATTTGGAGAAACCCTCAATTTTATGTTTTGTATTGGTTAAAATTCGCCTAAAAGAAGTACCTCTAGTCTCAGGGTAAATGATACAATCCTTCCCATTCAAAGTTTGGTAAGGTCATAGTTCAAGAAATTACTGTTAGTCTCATCTATTTGAACGGTAATCTACACTAATAAAATGTCTGATTTGCAGTCATCATGAAATGTTGTCGATGGAACCTTACGAAAAACAGCTGTTTAATGCTATTTTTAATTTCAGTGATACAATAGCGAATCTCTATTCATTGTTGAAAGTTGCTTCTAAAAGAATATCTTTAAGATGATAGATGTACTGAAATAATATACACTTAACTGTGATAATTTATCAATGTTTCATGTTGTAAAAAGTAATGTTAAAAAAATTATCGCTATCATATAAAGGCTAATATAAATTTCATCGAAAAATTGAATCAAAAAATGTCTGAATGTTATAAGATAACAAAAAATAAAAACACTATAGGATGCTTTTCTTTGATAATTGAAACACTTTAGATGTAAATGTTATCACTAAATTTGAAAGTGAATTTGTTATGAACATTAGATGGTGAAGATTTGTTGATCAGGTGGATGGTAATGATGAAGTTTTGTTCTCTGAGATGGAAGATTTGGTTGTGGAACTTTCATTGTTATTCTGAACGACATCATCAGTACAAAATTCAGGTAGAAGTGAAGTGTTCGAATTTCTCCACATATGGCTCACAGCTTGTCTTGTAGATCTCAATCATGATTGGTTATTGTTGACACAACCTGTTATTGTTTACTTGTATATTTTCATTGTATCTCCTACTGATTTGAATCTTGGTCTTATATATGTCCATAACTTTTCTATCCAAGACCTCAATATTTTCCCAGTCAAGGCAATTCTAAAAACACCAGGGAATTTTTAGAAGCTTGGCACTAAGGTCAATCAACAATCAACAAACACATTGAATTCGATCTAATTTCTTAACCAATTAGAATAATTATAGATAAATATAATACCAAGAATCGAATCAATGGGAAATACAGTTAAAATAAACAAGTAAACAATAACTAATCATGATTGTGATCTACAAGACAAGCTATGAGCCATATGTGGAGAAATTCGAACACTTCACTTCTACCTAAATTTTGTACTGATGATGTCGTTCAGAATAACAATGAAAGTTCCACGACAAAACCATCCAGATCAGAGAACAAAACCCCATCAAAATATGATGGACAATTTTTATGCTTAAAAAATGAAGGCTTATTGTTTCACTCACAGTGATGAATAGTGCTTATAATTGGAAATGAATCAAAATATTAACCTGTATTCTGTATTATTTTATTGATAAATTATTTACTTCATACCTCTGAAATTCCTAGATTCTAATATCTTAACTGTATGTAAGAAGCAGCCAATTGTTTGTAAATTGCATCTACTTATGTAGAATTCTAATAACTGAATTAAAAGACAAATAACATCATAATTGACTTCGATAAATACGAAATGGACGATATCAAACAATGTAGTTTCTTCATAATACAATGGGAAAACATACTAAACAATCTTCTTAAACCAGCTATTTTATAAGCAAAGACGGATAGTGGCTAGCAGTGGAATCCAGGACGCGAGTTTCGTACTATTTAGGACTCGTCAGCTCGATGTACCTGCATCTCAGAGTTGATGTTCACTCTACAACTTGAACGCAGTACCGTTCGCTTCAAACGCTATCACGTTATCCACTCAACTACTGAGTCCTGATAGCCACTTGCTTGTGCAATGGGGTGAAGTTTAATTCACTTGGTACTGTTTTACTTGAATTTTATCATTGATGTTTAGGACTGAAATTGATCAGTCTGTTATTGGCATATGTGCATACTGTGCGTATGCCTTGATATAGCCTTAATTCACAAGTTTTTATAAGCACAAATGGATAGTGGCTAGCAGTGGATGCAGGTACATCCGGCTGACGAGTCCAAATAAGGACGAAACGCACATCCTGGATTCCACTGCTATCTACTATCCATTTTTGCTTATAAAAGCTTGTGAATTAAAGTAATATCGAGGCCTATGCACAGTATGCACATATGCCAATAACAGACTGATCAATTGTAGTCTTAAACCTCAATAGAAAGATACAAGCAAAGCAATACCAGTTGTTTTATTTTCGCACATCTCAGATGTCCAATTTTGATTTCATTCAATTGAAAATCTGTTTATCAAATTTATTATAAAAGTAATAAATTCGATATGATAAAAGAAGTCAAAGGTATATCAATTTCTATTCAAAAGATCCATTTCATATGGTAAATAATCGATTTACGTACTAAACAGGCACAAGTAAAAAAAAAAGCAAACTAATAAGCTTAACATATAATCAAATATTTAATCTGTTTTTCTATTGGTTGAAGTGTTGAATTTTTTGCCCATGTACTGTTATCAATTGTCTGTCTGTTTATCATTCGCTCATCATGTAGGTTTCTTTTTATTTACTACTGAATTATATCAGTAAAAGTTGAATTTATTTTTTCTTGGAGAATGATTTTATTACAGAAATTTCCTTGTATTCATTAACAGTTATTCTAACAAGATCTTTACTCTCTCTCTCTCTCTCAAAGTACATGTTTTGAAAATGAAATAATTATAGGTAGGTAAAATTGTATAGTAACTCAATTTTGTATTGATTGTTTGGATCATCCCATCGATGTTTAATACTGTAATTGATTAGTCTTTTTATTATTTTCGAATGATAATGATGATGTTTTATTCCATGGAACTACTAAAAAGTATTTTTGTGATTCAGAAACTGTCTTTGAATACCATGACAGGAATTTCATCTTAGCTTTGCTAAAAGAAAACTTTTATTTATTGTACTGCCATCCTGTCCTAATTCTGCTATAGTCAGTTTCTTTTTTTAAATTAATAGTTGGTTTTATATTATAAATTAAGAGTATTAGCTAAAAATTGATTAAGTTACAGTAGTTAGGTGATAAAAGTTTAGTAGCAAAGATGAAAAACAGTGAAAATAACCTGCGACGTATTGAGCATAGTTAACAGTTAAGAAATTGATTATGCATTCTTATATCAAGCCAACTATTTATATAGATAAGACTAATGCTGAGTTTTGGTAATCCTTACAGCTGAACAAGTTCCACTGGTCAAGTTGGATTGTAGTTATTAGTTCAACTGACTCGACATCCAGATCTACTGTGACTGTTGTTAGTCACTTGAAAGCTATGAACAAGAAGCCCTGGACTTATGTTTCACTAGTTTGCTTAAATAAATTGGAATATATAAGTTAGGATGTAATGTAGCTTTAGGGCTATGAATCAATTAAAATTTACTGTCTGACATTTTTACGAACAATTACATATTTTACAAAAATTTAAACTAGCGTATAGACTATCTGATTATTTTAAAAATTCCCATATTGTGAACTGGAACAACACATATATGAGTGAACAATATTGCTTTCCATTAAATTTTGATCAGGTTTTACTCAAATGTGCTGTAATATTTGTATGCATGTACGAAATTATTAAACAAATGAAAGCAGTTTGTGAGTAATGCGCTACGAGCCAAATTGACCAGAAATAACCGATGTCTGTCGTTATCGACTCGACCTACAGTGACTCCCTTGCTAATGGATAAGTTACATCTATGTCTATCTACGAATTCAGCCACTTCCGTGAAGAAACCTATATTAGGTGCACAACTAGACAACCGAGCCAATGAGATAGTGAGCACCTGTTTTCGTGGTTAGTAAACGGTATCGTCAAAACAATACTTAGATCTGTTCTATCACACTTGATCGACAGGGATCATTTAGTAGATGGAATTGAGTCATATAAAGTGATTTATCGTACTCCTACTTGTTTTCCTTGCAGGGTTCGATCTCGACTCTCACACGTAGCAGAAGATATAAGATCATGGCTAGTACACCCGTTACCTCATTATCGATTTGTACTTTTTACTTATGTTTATTTATGTAATCTATTCTACTATTATCATTGATCTATAAACTGCCTTCATTGGCTCAATAATTTCGTATATGCATATAAACGTTGCTGTATATAAGAGTAAAGCCTGTTCGGGATCTAAGTGAAAACAATTTTGTTTGCATATATATAACGGATTATTCTTTGACATCTCCTAATTTTTATCTGTCAGGTGAATATCAAACACAATTTTATCACGTTTCTTTGAAAACAGTTTCCAGTCATACTATTCTCATAATACTAATTTGTTATTGTTTAAAATGAAATATTTTGATAGAAATGCACTTTTGCTAATTAAAACGATGTTTTCCTTTACAAATTAGTATTATATAGTTGATCAATATTATGTAGCAAAAGGTTAAAATAAATGTAAACATGAAATACGCACTTTTAATCATTGTTTGTCAACAGTAAGATGTGTTTATTTTTGAAATTGGTTATAAATAATAAGATGGGATATATATTTATAATGTATTCATAAATCTGATTTTAGGGAATTCCGACAAATGTTTTCCATCATTTTATTCTAGTTACCCCGTGTTATGGCATTTTTTACTGAGTGTCAGTCAGTTTCCCTTTAAAGCTAGATAGGTTGGTTAAGAAACGATAGTAACCAAATAAAAGTATATCAGCTACTTTAATCCATAGAATTTGTCCAACTATTTACCAAACACTGGTAGGTCACAAATGACAAAAACCGACTTCGTACTATGGTTATGTGAAGATTTTGTTTTATTCAAGTTCTATTGTCGCCATAAAATAACCTGGACTCAAAACCTTTTGAAAGTTAGGGAAAATTAAACAGCTATTTCATCCTATTATTAAATATTATAGTAGTATGCGCCTGTGAATCTACCCAGAAACAAGCCTAGTAAATTTGTATAACAATGGTTTGTATGTCTAAACACTGTAATCAGATCCAAAATATGTGTGTAGTTTATCAGTAAGCATTTTTGTTCTGATACGGAAATTTTGTTTTAATATAACAGGATGAACTTATGCATGTGTACCTCCAGTCAGAATATATGATAAAAGACTTTATCTTTGAATCGATATAAAATAGGTTATTCATACATTCTTCGCTAGACATCCGAATAGAAAATGTATCACAAAGTACTCTAGTTTTACTTCTTTCTTTAACACGGCAGAAATGTTTTTATAATGAACTTAAGAAGTATAGATACAGAGACATTTGGATTTCTACAGAACCGTCGTACAGATATATCGTTGATTTATTTATTTTAAAATGTATATCTGTAAATATATCAAATATGTTGATTTCTTAACGTGCGTTTCAAATTTCTGTCCAAAATATTAGCAGTAATCACTTCATGGAAATTCAACTATGTTATGATATTTACTTTTCAGTAATGAAAATAGTTTGCACATCCAGTAAATGTTTTCACAGTTTAAATCACGCATTGATTTTATCTGAACCAATATTGGAAGACTAAAAGCATTGAACAGCAGTTATATCCTAGTATGAAACTCCTCAGCAGTATGCATCCACTATCATATAACCGGGATTCGAAAATAGGACTTTAAATTTCATTCATGGACGTATAAGCTCTGGACCATTGAGCTCGAATCCAAGAGTGTTAATGTCTAGTTTCAATCGATCCATGATATTGAGTGATTCTAATTTATTTCCTGGAGTAGATAACTATTTCATATTCAACATGTATTGGACTTCACTGGTAATAACTTGCCACTAAAGTCCCAGGAGCTGCATTTTGAAGCTAATCACTAGTCAGCATATGATTATTATTAGTATAAAGGAATTTGTGAAGACTGTGAAGGGATAAAATGTGCTAAAATTTTTGTTCGACCAGCGATGTAATATAATAATTACATAATTTCAAAGTAACTATAAAAATAATACTGTATGACTGCTCGGTTGATAGATAGAAGGAGGACTATTATAACGATTATAATGATTTATAAAATTGAAAACATGTGATTAAACGGCCTTTAGACTATACAAGATTTAATAATAGGAATTTTAAAAACATATTTTGATACAAAAGTCAGTGTTATAATAGCAGTATGAGAGTCATGAGACAATTATAGTATTTAAGAAACTGACAAAAAATCTCTATACATCACCCTCACTATGGTTACTGCACATTTTATAAATTAAATTCATTGTACTCTTGTTAGAAAAATTTTGTTTTTTATAATTTTACACAGTAGTCTGAGTTCCAAACACAAACCTAGTTTCCATGTTTTCAAAATTACTTAATACCAGTCTGACTTTTGTATGTACAGTATTTAAATAGAAATATTATTTTCTTATGGCTTGTAAATACGTAGATGTATTATAAAATTAATCATGTAATCCAGCCATCATGCAACGGATTGTCATTGAAGTGAACAATCAACATTTTTTATCATTGACAATTTATTTTTTGGATGAATAGCAGTTTTATGTTTGTCGAAAGTGTTCTAAATGTCAAGTTTTTTCACTTCGAATGTGACTTTGAAGTATCTTCCATAGGTTGTAAAATTTGTTTAAGCAGCTCAAATATGCAAACGTAATTTGTAATGTATACTTCTATGTTTCAATTATTTTCTATTTGAAATTCCTATAATCTTGTTCAAACATTGGAATTCTCTTCAAGTATTAACTTTCTAGTTCCACAGTCGCACTAAATATTGACTATTTTATGTTTGGACTCCACGTTGCCAAGAAATAATAGGTATTTTCCTTGTGAGTTATGACTAATAAGAAATCTCGGTCTAATGATTCCAACATACCGTATTTAACCACTCTTCATCAAAACAGTTTAAAATTTAAACTAAAAGTAAATGAACTAACAAGAATATCTACATAGTAGATATATGACATTAAATGTAGTAAACTGGAAATATTCTTAAATTCATACTGTGAACTGAAGTAATGATACTATCCATGTCTATTTCAGCATGTAATTTATTTTCGTTATCAGTTTATCAGTGAAAATATTAGTTGCTTTCTAAGATAAATGGAAATAAATTGATAATAATCTGTTCATTTGTAGTGGTTTTATGTGATTTCCAAAATTGAAACAACTGACAATTCCTTTTCCGTAATCAGATAATCATTTGTGACTGATCAGTGTAATTTTAATCAAAGAATGAATTATGATAATGAATCCTGTCAAACTAATTAGAAGTTCTTTTTAAAAACTCTGAGCTATGAACTTTCTAGTTCCTATCATCAATTCAAGTCTATACAAATTACCCTATTCATATTGTCACATAGTACAAACTTGAAATTATTTCTATCCATTAACTATGTAAGTCCCTAAAATTCAACATTCTACAATTTAAACAAATTGCATTATGAATCCTAATATTTTAATGATAAATCCTTAATATTATATGAAACCATAAGCTTTCAGATAAACTTGTCTGCAACTATCATCATACTTTGTTTGTAAGTCATCGATATTAACATGGTTCTTCCATAATCTAGTCAAGTTTAACCAATATATATATATATATATATATATATATATATATATATATATATATATATATATATATATATATATATATATATATATATATAGTTGTTAATTAGTCAGTGTTTTAAATGATCAATTTTGTTGTTGTTGAGGAGATTTATACGATAAATCACGTTTATTTGTTAAAATACATATCAAAA